TTTTTTTTTTTTAGAATATCTAATTTTAAAGCCTTGATTATATGATTATTAATTCTAAATCTCTTTCATTTAATTAAATTCTAATTACAAATGGTTTTACCTTTTATAGTTTTTTATTTCAGACATATTTCTCCATAGTCTAAATTACTTTATATCCCAAACAGGAGGCTATCTAATAGCTATATCTGATCTAAACATAGTATATGCTACTTATATCCTTTGATCTAAAGATCTATTAAAACTTTTTTCTCACATATGATTTGTTGTTTCCCAATCATCATATCAAAACTTGTGACTTTTTGAAAATTGAAGTGATAAACAATACTAATCTTTTGAAAAAATTATAAAAAAAAGAAAATAACAAAAAAAGTATTATAGTTTTGTGAGTTTTCAATTAGAGAGTATTATTTCAAGAGTTCTTCATAGTCTTTTGTCTCCAAACAAACTTGAGTTTACCTTTTACTTACTATTTTCAGAGACTTCTCTGGTTTAAATACTAAATGCAAAAAAGAGTCTATCTAACAAGAGAAAAAACAAACTTTTTCCCTTTGCAAACTGTCCAAAATATCCACTTCTTGGTATATCATGTTTTAAAACTTTATTAATAACAGTTCATATCAAGAAAACTTTAAGTTGTTAATTTCTGGTCTTGAGTCTTTTACTTGCTTTGGTTAAAAGTTGGTACAAATGATTGTTGGTGAGAGTTGTATATAAAGAATAATATTTTAAAGAGTATTTATTTGTTTCTATTTGATATATTTATATTTATCTGTTTAATATCTACTTGTTTACTTGGAGTAAGTAAAAAAATCTTCTGTTAGATTAGTATATAGTAGTATACAATGGGTGATACTTATTTTACTGACAATCACTTCACCAACAACTTAGTTCACTAACAATTAATTTACTGACAAGTTTATTTCACTGACAATTAATTTATCAACAGCTCATTTCACAGACAAAGTAATTTTGTTATTGTCATTAAGGTCAGGCTAAAATTAGAGTTAAGGTTAGTGTAATTTATAAAAAAAACTTGTCGGTGAAATGAACTTGTTGGTGAATTAATTGTTGGTAAAATGAACTTGTTGGTAAATTAATTGTCAGTGAACTAAAATGTTGGTGAAGTGATTGTTGATAAAATGATACGTATCTATATACAACTATATAGTATATACTGGTATATAATTTTTTTTTACTTTGGCAATTTTGCTAATATTTTTTATTAAGTTTCTATTTACTGGATAGAGCAAAGATGTAGCAAAGCATGTTTAATAATTTGGATTTAATATTCTGCACAATTTTTAAAAAGAAAATAGCCAATCGAAGAGTACAAATTTTGACAGTTACTTCAAAAACACTTATAAATGACTAGCTGCATTAAGCAAATACATTTATTTGAATACATCTCAATAGTAATGGGTTAGGATAGTGTCTTAAGCTTTTTTGCTGTGTCTCAATATTCTAATATCCCAGTATTCCAAAATATCTCAACTAAGTCCCAAGTTTTAATAATTAATAAATAATTTAAAAAATATACAATTACCGTATTTTCTCTATAATAAGCTACTAAAAATAAGCTACACCCTTTTTTACTTAAAAACTTAAAAATATCTTTTACTCTAAAATAAGCTATCTAGATATAATTACTATTAATTGTTATATATAAAAGTATATATATATAATAATTAATAATAATTAATTAAAATTCTTAAAAATTTATTATACTCAAAAATAAGCTACCTTTGATTTTTTAAGCTCAAAATTGCCAAAAAAAGGTAACTTATTTTTGGGAAAATACGGTATATATTTTTTAAGTACTGAATATATTTTTTGAGTAATTTTAATTTATAAAAATATTCTGAAATGTCTCAAAATGTCTTAACGCATGTTCCTATCACTGCATATCGATAAGTTTCAAAATAGAAACTATATTTATCTTAGAAAATCACTATCAGACCACTGCTTTACAATAGAATATTGCCAATTTGATGATATCTTCTTATAATAAAGCAAAAAATCAAAAAATACTAACACCAACACTAATATTAAAAGAGAAAAAAAGAATAAAAACTAATACTAAAAACAAAAATAAAAAATAAAGAAAAAAAGAAAAGAATCTAACAGGTTACAATTATAAGCCTATATTGGATTTTAAAAAAAATTACATATTACAAAATAAAGAAGCCCTGTATCTAACTCTATCTTATTAATATATATAACTAAAAAAAAGATACTAATATGTAAAAAAAATACTAAATTAGTAACTAATGTAGTCTCAAAGTATTTTTAACAAATCAATGGTATTTAAATCATATTATCCTCACATATTGTCTTAAAATTTATTTTTCTGTATCCCTTAGACCACAACTAGATATAATATACTATATCAAACTAATCTGGCTATATAAATTACCAGATTACTTGAAAAATAAACACTCATATAGTAATCTCCTGTTTTGAATAATTAATAATACTGACTATTTTGATGAATTATATATTGATCTTTTGGAAAGATAAGCTAAAATACCTACTTATTGACAAAATTTACTTGAAAAAAATAGAAGCTAAACTATAAATTATAAATATTGTTTTATAAAACTATTAGTATAATATTATAAATTTACTCTGTAATAGTTACTTTTAATTTTAGAAATTTGCTCTACAAATTTAATTTTTAAAATAATTTATTTTTAAATCATATGCCAATACTTATAAATTAATTATAGTTATTCTTCTCTATAATTACCTTCTATATAGTTACACCTTTATAAGTACTATTTTTTGATTAAAAAAATTTTATATTATTACCACTGATGATTATTACTAGTATCATATGCTTACTAAAATATATATGCAAATCAGTTAATAATAATATATTTATACATATAACATAATATAATAAGAAAATTAAAGCATTTATTTAATCAAAAAATATATAAATTTTCTTGACGATTAGAACAACCAAACCCTAACACTAATTGTAGCATAGATATCAACTCTAATCTAAATGAATTTTATCTAATTTAATATAAGACGGATATATACTAAAGCAATACGGTATGAAAACACAAATTAAAATGAATATATCAAAATCATAGTACATACAGACTATTAAAAAAATTTTGTCAAGCAATATTATTTGTTTACTAATCTCAAAATAAAAAAGAACAATACTAATGCTTCTTTAACCCTAACTATTAAAAGAGCTATTTATAAGAATAAAATATACAAACTAGAATAGACATAATACTAGTACTTCTCTAACCCTAACTATTAAAAGGGCTATTTATAAGAATTAAATACACAAACCAGAATAGATGAATATAGATTATAGTATATATAGTCTGTCAAAGAAAAATTTGTCAAATTAATATTACTTTTCTACTAATCTGAAAACTAAAAAAAGTTAATACTAGTGCTTTCCTAACTCTAATTATTAAGAGGGTTATTTATAAGAATTGAAATTTTCAAGTCTATCTGTATATATGATCAAAATTTAGTAAATCATTATATATCTGTCTGAATTTGTACTGCCATTCGGTGCTATTTTATTAAATCCTATACAAGAAACATACAAAGCAAATATTTGTTTTACAAATTTAAATATATCATAATATATTTAAATTGCATATTTAATACATAATAAGTTGCATATTTAATACATGATAAATTTATCCAAATACTAATTTAAATGTTAATTCAATTTTCTTTATCTGCAACTAAATTTGCTTTATATTTTGAACATTCACAAATATTATAACCTTTATCTGTACAATATCCACAAGTTTTATAAGTCACTTCATCTGATTTTGTTGAAGCAGATTGTTTGTTATATAGTTCAACTAATGATTTCAAGCATTTTGGAGGTGACCTTTTGGATATCTCAAGGTCAGCCAAAGGTTGTTGTAGATTCGTAGAGATTTTTTGTATTGAACTGTTTGCAGATAAGATAGGCTGCTTAATTACTTCTATATATATATATTTTTTTTTATACCGATGATGTGACCATCTTCGGGTGCGTGTGGCGCTCTTTTATTTATAAATTATTTGTATTTATACACATTGTAAATATTTACAAATAGATTTTATCTGTGAATTGCTATTTAAATTTGAAGTTATTATTTTTATCTCCTTGGAGATGCGGTTCCTAATATATGTAGGTATTACTGTTTCTGGTATCGTTGAGTTTCCCTATTTATGTGATGTATACTAGCATCAGATTTCATAGATTGCATTCGTATGAAGCCATAGAGCTGCTTTATGGTGTTTTGAATCTTTAATGTTATTTGCTGTAAAGATCTCTTCAATTGAGGATGGGATTGATGTCTCATTAATATTTAGAAACTTGTAAGCTTCGTTCCAAATTCTTTTACTTATAATGCACTCAAGTGCGAAGTGTTCTATTGTTTGCAGTTTGTCTGGACACCATAGGCATTTTCCTGACTCTGTTACGGATACATGTTGTAACCAATATTCTAAAGGGAGGGCTTTATGGTACATACGCTATAATATATCTTTTTTCTTGTTGTTGGTTGCTTTTGTAAAAAGCCAATCTGTTTTGATATCAGTTGAAAGTATAGTGTTTGTTGGGGCAACTGTTCTTTTTCTTAAGATTCCCATTAAGTTTTTTACTGTGAAGTCTGTATTTTGTTTCTTGTCAACTTTAAG